CGTGAAGGTGACCGTGTTATCTAATAGAGTAGAGCACACTAGACCAGTACCAGCACGTACTGCCACAAGCCACGACCGTCAAAACAGGTCGTGTCGGTCAGGGACAAATATGACCGGCAATATTTATGCCTGGTCGTGCTGGTCCGACCTAATGTGCGCACCGGCGAACCAGCACACCTCCACAAACATGCAAATATTGAAGGGTTCGTCAGTATTTCGAGTACGCTAGCTGGCTCAAGTCGCATGATGTAGGTTAGATTTCGTTTATTTTTGTTCGAACATTTAAATCGTTTTAAATATGAATGAAGAAAAGCTTATTTTACTGGTACAAAAGTATCCAGAGCTGTCTCGAAGAAGTTTCTGAGGGCTTATGATCAAGAAAAATCACAGATCTTCCTGGGTCTGAGTAAGAACAATCTTCGGATTGTCACGGGGTTTTTAACAGGACACTGTCTCCTCAATGAACACCTCAGTAGATTGAAACTAAGAAGAAACGGCGAATGCAGATTCTGTGGGGAAGATGGTGAAACACCAGTACACCTCATCACTGAGTGCGCCGAGACGACAACCATTCGTGCCATGAATTTTGGTACGACTGATATTGGAGATGGAGAACTACCCTCTATAAAACCGTCCCAGATACTGGCTTTTGTCAAAGCCCTGGGACTGTATGATGAGTTATGATTCAAGAAAGGGGGACACAATGGATCTGTAAGGTCGAAGTGATTAACCCCCCTCCCACTCATTCTAAATTCTAAAATTAAAAAAAATCCAGAGCTGTGCTATACGAGCCAAGCATTTTATATATAGAGACCAAGAAAGAAAAGATGCAATATGGGAGTCGATAGCAAAAAAAAAATAATCAAATTTGATTTGTGACATTCGAAAATATTGGAAAAACTTTTCTTCGAATCTTTTTAATTCAGGAAACAAATAATGAAATTCGCCATATTGCTTTCTCTTTTGATTTATAGGGTGAACCCAAAATCTTCTTTTTTTCTTAGCTTCCTTCTCTTCCTCCTCTTCTTCACACAACATGGCTAAAATAATAATTTCTTCGTCTGAACTACTCATTTTCAATACTTCTATGTTGCACGCTCTAGTAGTTGAGCCTTGACAACTGTACTTTTTTCGAAACTCTCGCTTATGTTGCTGGTCTGTGGCGGTAAAGTGTGCGACGTCATGCAGGATGCAGGTTTGTGCTGTGCTGGTCCGTACTGGTCCGTGTAGATATAGTGTGCGCGATCTTAAAAGGTTTTTTAGCTGGATTAGTAAATTATAATACCGGTTAGACATTTTGAAGATATCAAAATATTTACTTTTTTATTTTTAGAATTTTCACAAATTATACTTCCTAACACGACTTTTAGAATAATTATATAATAAATTTTTCGTATACTTTTTTTTCCTTTTTATTCTTGCCTTTAGGTCGTTGGGGTTGCAAAGATGTTACTAGATTTTGTTCATTTATTTTTATGACGACGTTTCGACAGTATATGTCTTTTCAAGTCTCTTGAACGTAGATTACTACAGAATTTTTTCTTTTTTTATTCTTGGCTTTAGGTCGTTGGGGTTGCAAAGATGTTACTAGATTTTGTTCATTTATTTTTATGACGACGTTTCGACAGTATATGTCATTTTCAAGTCTTCAAGTCTTCTTTTTTCGTATACTCGCTATTTAAACCCGTGTATTTGTCATTTGTATATACTAGTTGTCTACGATATTTTTCGATGGTGGCAGCACCGGCGGAGAATGCGCCAAGCCTGTAATTAGTGCAAAAGTTAAAAAGTTTGTTAACTTTCCACTAATTCCACTTTCCACTAATTCCACTTTCCCCTAATTGAAAATTCCTACCACTAATTTTAACGTTCTGAATGCTTACAGACAGTGGCGCATCTAGAGATTAAGTTTGGGAGGGTAGTGGCAATATTTAAATAAAGTACTACATTTAAATTAAATTTTCGCTGAAAAGTACCTATTGTGAATATGGAAAAAAATACACTTGGATTGGACTGGATTTTCTATTAAGAATGGTATTAAATTATTATTTTTGTGTCAATTTTATTTTATACCACATTTTCTTATTTACAAATCTCTTTATGGGAGGGTAATTACCCCCATTACCCCTCCCTGTATATGCGCCCCTGCTTACAGAAATAAACTACTACGGTAATTGATATTACTAATTTATTCCACTAAAAGTTCTGAATGAAGCTTTAAGATTTAAGTCTTTTGAATTTGACTTGTTGCAGTGACAGTCAGGGGTGGATGGGGAAGTGGAAACCGGCCCGGGAAAAACAGGCAACCGGCTCAAATCCACAAAACAAAATGATCATAACAAAGAAACATATTTTATTTATGAATATTATAAGTAAGGGTGTTTTTCGCTCGTGCGAAAAAGCTCTTTTACCTCCGGTTTTAAAAAATAATTAAATTGTCTTAATCAAAATTTTCGTAAAGACCAATACTAGGTCGGACATCTGAAATTTTACTACAAAATGGCTCAGTTTTACAGGATTCTACCGCTTTATTTCCATTATCGATAACGGTAATTTGATCTTGAATAGGCTACGATTTTGAGTCACGATTTTGAGAAACTTTAAGACTTCCTGATTCATTCAGTTCAGCTGACCCAATCCTCTGTGAAATACATTATTTTTAGCTTTTCGGGTATATACTATATTCTACACATTGTAGAAAGAAATTCTCTCTTTTCTGCTACAGCAGCAGCCTCCTCGTGTTCTTAACTGAATGAACCGCGGTCGCCATTAAAACTGCAGCATTTTTAAAGTTATTATATAGTTCTTATCACGAAACTTTTTATCTATACTTTTCTACATTTGGCATCTTGTATGATAATGCCATGACTCAAAGGAAAAAACCTAGGCAATACCTAGGCAGTGGATATAAATGTGTTCTGATGTATTGCTATGTTACAGTCCATAATAAGAATATTTTGATTTTCGAGACATATTAATGTTTTATTATCTAATCTAGTTTAAACCTTATTTAAGTCTTCTCTGCTGTCTCAGTAATTTTTAGCAAATTCATTTTAGCAACATTTTAAACAACAATTTAGACTTGGCTTTCAGTTCTCAGACTTGGCTTTTAGTCCGTCCCCAATTCAAGCCAAGCATAGATATGTTTTCTCCGTCAACCGCAGAATTCGCGTCAAATTCGTCTATCGTTTTACAAAGGGAAGCTCGAAAAATATTGCACCGAGGCCCCCAGTTGTCAATCTACGCTACCGTATTCTTAGTATACATTTAGATCGAGACTATTTAAATTTACCTAATGCTATTCATTCTTTTTTTTTTTTTGCTGCCAGTCAGTCATATTTATTAGTTATTAATAAAAGAATAGTCGGTAAACTATACAGGGTGTAGATCTTAATTAAGTGCAAATATTTTCAGGGGTGGTATATTTCGACCCCAAGAGCACGTCTATGAGTTTTTTTGCAAAAAAGATGTTAAAAATCGAGCATTTTTTTTAAAATTTTCCCATATATTTTAGAAAACTTTTTAGAACTTCCTGTCCACCGCAAATTTTCTCTCCCACGGTATAGTTTCTTAACCTCTGATAATACGGCACTAAAAGAGACGCAAATACCGAAAAATTGAGGTGGCTCAAATTTTTTTAAAAATAAATCTATTTTTTTTAAATTTCCAGACTTTAATAACATCGATTGGACTTATTTGAAACTCGGTAAAGAGAATATATTATGTTTATTTTATTGAGATCTACGAGTCCTGAAAATATTTGCACTTATAGACTCGCCTTGTATAATAAACATTTTCAAACAAAAACAAGTGTCCCAGAGAAAGACATTTTACATTAGTTATTTTACAAATTGGTGTTTATGTTAAAAAGCAACTGACGATTATACTGATGAAAATGGATTACTTAGTTATGGATCACTAAGAATCTTATGTCACTTTAGTTAGAAGATTAACCATTTAATTTTTGCTAATCCAATGTTTTTTGAGCTCTGATCGGGACCGGCCCACCGGCCCATCTTTCCATCGACCCACCGGGAATTTTCCCGTTTTCCCATATGGCCCATCCACCCCTGGTGACAGTTACAAATAATGTTGATTGTTTTTCTTAGATTAAGAAGTTTTTTGTATGTCGTAGTCCAATGGGCCAAATTTAATTAAAAAACCAAATTAACATTTAACTAAAAAAAAATGGAAAATTAAATGTAAGATTGATAAGTAACTGATAGTTAATAGTTATTTTTATGCAAGACGATAAAATGGTATTTTTATCATCGACCGAAAAGATTAATTCACGAGCCATGAAATCGCCAGTGAATTAATTTCGGGAGACGATAATGCAATTTTATCGTCGTGTATAAAACAATATTTTTTTTCATAGCGAGTTACGTTTTAAAAAATATTCAGAAATTATTATTTCAAGGAATTTATTACGAGTGAAAAAAATATTGTGCTGGGTTGGCGTTAGTTTCTATGTAATTTGACAAATAAATAAAGCTGTCTCTTTAGTTGTCGGTTTTGAGTCAATATTTTTTAATTCTCTTTCGTGTCGATTGCTGATTGAATTGCAGTCAGAAATGGCTCAAAACGAAATAAGTAAATTACCAACAGATATTCAGGTTGAGGTGACAAACGCCATATCCAAACTACTTCCATTTAAATCCCGAATAACTTAAGGAATTCAAAAATTTTCAAAAATGGAAGCAATTAAAAAACGTGCGAAAACAAATAGTTTTTAACCTATTCTCGCTGTTAAAGTATCATTTAATCCACCCTTGCGGTTAAAGTACTATTTTATCATTTTATCTACTATTTTTGATAGATATATAAGGCAATTTTAACAGATGCTATGGAAAAAAATTATTTTTACAACTATTTACATATTCGTTGCGACCAGAATTTATTTCAGGTTGATTTTTACGTATTACGAGGAGAAATACAGAAACTTGGCAACGCGGGGAACGTCTCAGCCGTTCCGAAATTCCGTACCGGCCGTACTTCACATCAGATCAGCCGGTCGACCAGTTGCGAAACTACATGCGTGCGGTGCAGTAGTACTTCGTGACAAATTCAAAACATAGAACCCACCGGCACCAAAACAAGAGCTTAACATAAGCCCGCCGCTAATATACAGGGTGGAGGAGCAAGAGTACCGAATTACCGCACTAATTCTAATCGAAAATTCGGGCGCTAGACGCGCAAATATGAACGTGTTGCTGTGCTGTGAACAATCAAGCCAGACCGACCTCCGAGCCCTTAGGGACCCGGCCCTCCTGCACGACAGGGTGTTGAGGAACTTGCTCAAAGCGGAAGATCGCTACGCGTTGCCCTGTCCGAGGAGCTTCGCCTCCGTGCAGCCGGAAATCACGCCGGCCATGAGGAAAATCGTGGCCGAATGGATGATGGAGGTGAGTGGTAGTTTGCGCCATGGGTAACTAGACCGGGGACGTGGACCTTCGTACCAAGCGCGATTTAAAATTTAAATGTTGCGAAAATTTCGCGTGGCGCTAGTTCAAGGTTGATTAAAAAACAGGCCGTGATTCGCGGAAAACACGAGCTAGGTACTTTATACATATTTGGTACGCAACGAATTGCTAATATTTTCTGATGTTTACGAAATTATCTTAAAAAACGGATTTGGATAAATTTAAAAACCTTATACTCTGTTCGTAACAGTTCTTAATAAGCCGGCATTCATTTGATTCATTGCTTTTTTAAATGACAGTTGACAATAAAAATAAATTCAGCTGTGTCGATCTCTATGTCATTATAAAAAACAAATAATCGTCAAAATCAATACTTAAATGACAAACGTCATAAAATTTTGAACTAGAAACATACAGTATTTAGTCTGCTAAATTTATATATTGCAATGACAACTATAAATTCAGTTAAATTTAAATATGACGTGCAATGACAGTTATTCCTGTCATTTTAATTCAAAAGTAAAATTTCATATTTTAAATCCCTATCATATTTTAGATGTTTTATTTCATAATCATAGGCTGTCCAGCAAGTCGGTATACCGGGTGCGTCTCAAAAGTAGCTCATCCCTATAACTTTTTTATTTATTCACATAAAAAAACGAGATTTGGTATGTTAGTATATGACATAAATTAGGATTTATTGGCGTATACAATTGTTTTCGGTCACTTCCTGTTTCACCGGAAATGACTACAACTTTTTATTTTTAAATGGCACCCTCGGCATTTTTTTACTTTATTCGATAGAAAATGACACTCCAAATAGAATGACATATGGGATGTCAACTTTTGACATTTTCGCATATGGTTTATTTAGAATTGTAACATGCGGTTCATAACGATATTTTGACTTGAAATATCAAGTGTGTGGTATCAAATTCGTAAAAAATGCTAAATGAGCCACCCTCGTTCCATTTGAAAAACTTGATATATGATTAAAAATACGATTTGAGCATTTTTTAACTGGCCAGGACAAGACATGAAAACATTAGATGGTCAAATCTATTTTTCCACTGCTCCTTGATTAAAAAATAGTGATTTTAATGTTTATGGTCCAGATTGAAATTTAAAATACGATTTTTTTTAATCGAGAGTGTCAAAAGTTGACATATGATATGTTATTATATTCAAACATTATCTATCGCATAAAGTAAAAAATATCGAAGGTGCCATTTAAAAATCAAAAGTTGTAGTCATTTCCGGTGAAACAGGAAGTGACCGAAAGTAATTGAATACGTCAATCAATGCTAATTTATGTCATATACATCAACGAGATTAGACATGTGTCTAATCTCGTTTTTTTATTTTGAAAAAATAAAAAAGTTATAGGGGTAAGCCACTTTTGAGACGCACCCGGTATAGTCTATAAAATCTCGTTCTCAGAGAGAGAGAACTGTTGTGTACAAAATTCAAACGGCTGTCAAATTTGAATTTAGTACAACTCTTATTGGTTCTTTGAAGTGTCAGAACAACGGGGCCCATAGATATATGGTGTGGTATGTTTGACAGTGACAGTTGTTTGTCACTTCATTTCTAATAATATTTCATATATTTTTTAGAGTCTGAATATTGTCTAAAGGTGAATTTATATGTATCAGTAATGATCCGTCGTTCCGTCACTCCAATCATATTGAAGTTTGAACTGTTATTTTTGAAATAAACCAATAAAATTGCACAAAATCAATAACGGACAACGCATTACAGATGCATGTAAACCTACACAAAGTGTAGAAAGGAAAAAAAAATCTTCGTGTTAACAACACCCAATCCTTTTTCTGTAAAACCAGACTAACAGTTACATTCTACATTCTGCCATCACTCTGTTTTATATTCTAGATATTCTAGAATTAAATATAAGTCCTAATGTTATAAATAACCATTTTATTGTTCATTTTTTTTTGTTATAAGTAAACATGGTTATAAATGACCATGTTTACCTGGAAATTCTGTTAAATTAAGAAAGTAAATGTTAGCAATTTTATGAGAATGTTATTCAATTTTGTTATAGATTTCGTTTAAACAAAAATCATAATATAGCAATCATAGAAATACATTTGCTAGAACTTTTATTTATTGAAATACCTATTGTTGGTTTAGCGTTAAAAAATCATGTCTTAACATATTAATTATTTATGTTTCCTATCCACTGAATATAATCATTATTTTTCAATAAAAAAATAAGGAAATGCTTAAGGTATTTCAAAAACTAATTTTCTCTCAAATCAAAGAAATTGTCATTTACAGTAGATTTTTTTCTATTTCACGCATTTAATAAGTTTTAGCTAGTCCGGCCTTTAAAAAAGGGATAATTTCGACAGAACATCCTAAAAAATGCCAGAAAACCCAATCTACTTTGAGGAAAAATGGCATTTAACTGTCATTGTCAGATAACAGTTAAATGTTTGAAAGCCTATTTCGTTTTCTTCAAGCTTCGTTCTCAGAACCTACATTGTGTCGCTAACGCCACTTCAAAGAATCAATGACATTTGTACAAAATTCAAAGAGCTGTCAAATTTGAACACAGTAAACTCTCATTGTCATTGCTCTCATTGGTTCCCTAACTCTCATTGGCTTTTTGAAGTGGCGTCAGCGAGGCAACTTCGAAATCGAGGTTTTATTTAGAATTTAATAATTTCCCTTTTTGTAATATTTATCGGAATGTCTGTAGGTGATATTTATATTAATAAATAAATATTTTTTGTGTTAATGAAATTATGCTTGAAAATTTAACGATAAAAATAATTGATCATAAAGTGGTAGAATGTTATATCGTTTTTTATATAATAATAGCTCCCGTATATACATTTAACGCGAGAGTAGGGGAGGGAGTAGCAAGGTACAGCTTGCTATACTAGAGCCGTTCGGTATACAAGGAAGGTAATGTGGCTAGCACTACGCCTCAAGCGCCTATTATTACCTCAGGATTGTGAATCCCAAGTACTCAATTTAAGGCTGAGTCGACCTAGGTACCCAAACTATTTTTATTTTAATAAAAATAGTCGGCTGATGAAATGCCGGGTGTGGGAATCGAACCCACACCTTGAGATTGGTAGACGAGAGCCTGTACCTCTAGGCCACCGGGCACCTCTTATATTATATCGTTTTTTAAGTTATTTTATACAGGGTGATACTTTAAAAAGTAAATATCGGGATATATCCAACAAGGAATCATCATCGTCATCCTCATAATTTTTAGCTTATTCAACCATTTCTAATTATGGTGTAGCCTCCCTCACATACTTAGATACTCCCTTTGTAGTTGGGATCATTGCTGTCTATTGTTGGCTATGGGGCCCAAGTTATCCCTGCTAATTTCCTAATATCATGGTCAGGTTCGGCCTTCTTCTACATCTTTTAATTCCTCGTGGGTACCATGCTGTAATTTTTGTTGTCCATCTGTTGTCTGTCCTTCTTGCCAGGTGTCCTGTCCATTGCCACTTGAGGGATTTGATTCTGTGGATGACATCTATTTCCTGGATCCTTTTGTCGTATCCACTCTATTCTTTTACGGTCTCTCCTGGTTATTCCCAGCATATTTCGTTCAATTGAGCGTTGTGCGACCTGCAGTTTTCTGGTAATGTCCGTTTTTAAGAGTCCAAGTTTCGCATGCATAGGTCATGACTGGTAGTACAATACACATTGGCCGAATGTTTTCTTCCTTAGATAAAGTGGCATTTTAGATTTGAATATGATTGAGTTTTTTGTAGAAGTACCCCATGCTAACTTAATTCTTCGGTTGATTTCTGGTAGTAGAGATCCCGAGCTGTGTATTAGTTGTCCAAAATATATTTATTCTACCAAACCAAACCAGCTCATTGTACATTACTTTAGTTTTTGTTAAATTCATTTTGAGATCTACTATATTGCTTTGTTGGTTAATTTGTGTTTCTCCTTCTTCAGGACTATTGGCTAATAGGACTATGTCATCGGCGAATCTTAGATGGTTAATATATTTTCCATCTATTTTTCAAGCAAGGAATATTTTTTTTTATATTACTTTTGGAATATAAAAAAAATACTAAAAAAACTTTTTTGAATATGTTCTAAATACACAATTCCTTGTCTGTAAAATCTCCGAAGTTCATTCATTCGCCGGGTAAACGTGGCAACGTCGAAGCCGGCCGGTTTTTAAATGCCGGGCCGAACCGGTGTTGCCGGTTGTGTTCGCCGACAGGTTGGCCACCTTGGGCACCTTGCGACCGATTCCAGTTTTCATTCATGAATTTTTCGAATCAGCCGTTGCTGCAGGATAAATACCCGATTTCTCTGTTAATAATTTTAAATATTTTTGAATTAATTAAGTATTCTTCCAAACGGGTATGCTTTTTAATTCGACTTTAGCACATCATGTAAAAAAAGACTATTTATTTAAAATATATGTTAATGTTTTAAATTTCATTGTCTATTAAGTAATGTAAGACCGTAGAGGGAAAAATAAAAGCTAGGACTGTGCTGCAGAAAAATTGTTTTTGTTTGTGTAGCAACGGAATATAAATAATATAAATCTTAACACAGGGCAATATTTCGCAATCTATAGTTTTGAACTATTTGATGATTAATGTTTATATATTGTACCGTTATATAATTGCTGACTATACTTTAATAGTAAATTATTTGGTTTTGTCACGTTTTGCAATGTTTTTATTGTGTATTGCAATTGAGTTTAAGGACATTTAAATATTTCTAGTTAGATATAAAAAAATGAGATCATTTTTTTTTGTATTTAACACTTTAAAGCCGGGACCCCATTACGCCACACGCCACGCCACCCCATGCTACGCCATGCCACCCCCCGTCATGAAGATCTGTGCGTTTTTCCATTTAATTACATGTATTGTCACGCCATGCCACGCTATCACACGTGTGTCGTCTGTCCCAGATCTCATGTGTACACTCTTTCCTACGTCGCAACCCGTAGGCTCAAG